AATTAACTCCTGTGCGTTTTCCACTATTATCTTGATGTTTCCTAAAGTATTTAAAAAACAAAAATAAATTTTCTATTTATAATTATTTCTTTTTGTTTTACATATAGCATAGCACTATGAAAACTTAAAATGTTTTCCCTTACCAGTATATATGAACTCGATGAGCAGTTTTAATATATTGGGTTTCATAAACTTCATTTCTATTGACTGTGTTGTTTTTTCAGCTAATCCACCAGTAAACATGGTCTTAAAATATTTGCTTCCCGCCGAGAGTATTACACGGTGAGCCTGTGGAATAAAATGTAATCTCCATCATTTTTTTTTTTTTTTTATATTTGTCCCCGAGGGGGGCTAGTTTATTGATTGGGGTGGGTACGTTAAGGGGGCGTAAAAGTCTAGGTGAAGGGTCGTCGTCATAACATAGGTTTTGTCAAGTTTAAATAAAAATGAGAGATGGATTGAATTTGTAGGTGGTGGGGGGGGGGGAGGGAGTTCCTGGTTATGATAAAGATTGACGTGACATTAATATGTCGTCAAATACCAGGCCTATGACTGGGAGGAGGACTGGGAGGAGGGATATTTTGTGAGAAGGAAAAAGTGTTGGTAACGGCCTGGGACCTATAGGAGGAGGTCATGGGGCAAGTGGAGGATGTAAAATGAGAGAGGCCATAATAACAGTGCGGTGAGGTACCTATAGATGTAGACTGGTCGAACAATAGGAAGTAAGCCAAAATAAAACCACTGCTAGGAAGCAAGCCAAAATCAAACCACTGCTAGGAAGCAAACCAAAAATTAAACCACTTCTAGGAAGCATTCAGAGAAGTTAGGAGATTTCTTCCACTATTCCTTGGTCCTAGACTCCTGGGCAGTTAGGGCGGCGGCGGGTAGAGTGTGGACGGTGTACTTCGATATGGGTATAAAAGGTGGGTGATGGAGGGCAGGCAGAGAAGAAAGTGTAGGAGATAAATACAGGTAAATGTTTCACTCACTCACCTTCACAACTGATCCATCAGCTAATAATATTTCTACATCACATAACTCTTGTGACTGCCAGAGGAAATGTATGTAGTCTAGTAGGTAGTTCGGATAAGATTTACATTCCTCTTCCTCCTCCTTCTCCTCCTCGTTATGAGAGAGCTCCACACGTGCAGCCGCCATCTTCAGATACTAATGTAATACTAACTAGTTGTCAGTTTTATTTTTAGTGGTGTGGTGATATCTGGTAATACCCGTAGTGGTGGTGGTGGTGGTGGTGGTGGTGGTGGTGGTGCTTCCGTTGCTTCTTCCAACAGTAACAAAACTAAACTACAGCCACACTCCTAAGACAGTCAAACCACCAAAGGTATAGAGATAACCTCCATGAGCGCATAATCCAAAATCACCATGGGAGCACCATAGAAGATACCCCGATCAAATTATCTTCCCAAAGCGGATCAGGATTATAAAGTTCATCGTCTGCCGGTTCAATTTCTATATGTAAGACTGCTACTTCTGGCCCTACACATCTCTCAATTTTCATTGGGCAAACTTTCTGCCATTTCTGCCTGCCTAAAGCCCATAAATGCTAGGTATTTAATTTTATTATTCTATATTTGTATATGCATAGCTAGGTTACACAGAAGATAGACTGCAAATGAACATCTGTGGAGTACATGTGTTATTGCTCTATACTGTATGTGTGTGTGGGGGGGTATGTAGTTACTTTGGTTAAAGCCAAGATTTATGTGTACTGTACAATATGTGTATAAAATATTAATGTAGTAGTCTTGTGTTTTCATATATAATGGTTGCCTTGCTACCTACTATAACATGCTCAACAATCTTGTAGATATTTAAATTTAAGATTATTTAAGAATTATACTGTGGCTAAAATTTTACTAATGAATTGTTTTCTTTGCAGTACATCATGCAGATCTTCGTGAAAACCCTCACTGGAAAGACTATTACTCTTGAAGTAGAACCTTCAGACACCATTGAAAATGTAAAGGCAAAAATTCAGGATAAGGAAGGCATCCCCCCAGACCAGCAGAGATTGATCTTTGCTGGTAAGCAGTTGGAGGATTGTCGCATTCTTTCTGACTACAATATCCAGAAGGAATCTACACTCCATTTGGTATTGCGTCTTAGAGGAGGAATGCAAATCTTTGTGAAAACCTTTACAGGAAAGTTTACCCTAGAAGTAGAACCTTCAGACACCATTGAAAATGTAAAGGCAAAAATTCAGGATAGGGAAGGCACCTCCCCAAAGCTGCAGAAATTGATCTTTGCTGGTAAGCAGTTGGAGGATTGTCGCATTCTTTCTGACTGCAATATCCAGAAGGAATCTACACTGCGTCTTATTAGAGGAGGAAACAACATCTTTGTGAAAACCCTTACCCTTACAGGAGAGATAATTATCCTAGAAGTAGAATCTTCAGAAGATATCCATAAGGAACTAGAAGTAGAATCTTCAGAAGATATCCATAAGGAACTTATACTCTCCCCTTTGGTATTGCGTCATAGAGGAATACAGATCTTTGTGAAAAAATAAAGTATTCCGGATGAAATGTTCAAATGAAATGTTCAAATTTCCTTTAATGTATGGAATGGAAAAGATTTAATTTCTTTTTGCACATTGTTATTATTTTAACCGAACCAAATAAACACTATTAAAATTATTTTATGCATTGTTTTTTTATCACATACTGCAAAACCGCAAAACCATATATATGTGAAAAACTGAGTATTTTTGTTTTCTCTATTGGCTAGTTTGCAATGTGACCTAGCAGGTAGTTGGCAGTATGTTGGGATTATATCCTATAGGGTAGTAAAAAACTATACATTTATTTATTTGCTTTTTATTTACTAAAATAAGAATGAGTGAGAATGAAGGAGGAGGAGGAGGAGGAAATCAGTATATAGGTTTTCAAAGTTTCGAGTAGTCAAATTAAGACTGCTATAGCATTAGTCCGACTTTCAGGGAGTGGTGTACAGCTTATCCACTTGTTATTCTTAGGGTCGAAATACTCCACATTAGCGAGAGAAATCTAAAAAGAAAAAAAAAAGTTATAAATATTATTATCAATATTTATCATTTTATATTAATCATTCTTTTATTCTTCTTTCCTTACCATTCCAATTCCATTCAAACCACTCCAGTAACCGCCTATGACATATAACAGAGAATTTGTGACAACAACTGCTGGGCTACTTCGACCCAAATACTCTGAAGACGAACACTTAAACCATTGGTTCTGTGGGAAAGTAAAAGAAAAAGGTTAAAACAAGAGTAAGGGGGCGGGAGGGGGGTATACAATTTTTTCCCTTTGTTCCTAAAGTATTACAACAATTCTTCCACTTCCTGGTTACAATATTAAACTTTAAGTACTGGTAAATAATCTTACCTGCTCAAAAGAATATCTTTTCATTGAATTTTCATCCAGAATACCATCACCTACTACGTACAAAAAATTATCTAAAACTGCAACGCCTATCGTCTTAGACGGTGGACCTTGCATTGATGTTAGATTCTTCCACTCTCCAGTTACAGGATTGTATGAGAGAAAATCATGCAGGGGATTGTAAGTGTCCGTATATCCACCAATAATGTAAATAAGACCTCGATGTTCTACTATACCCATGCTATAAAAAGAAAAAAAAAGGAAAAAAAACAGTACAGGTTACTGCGACATTTTCTCATTATTATTATTAGTAATTCACACTATCAGTAAATCAAAATTGTTATTGTACTGGTTATTGTACTTACTTGGATCTAGCTTCTGGCATATTTGACTCTAATAATCTCCACTCATCTGTAATAGGGTTATATCTTTCAATATTTTTTCCTATTTCCATTGAATCCGTCCAACCACCGAAGGCATAGAGATAACCACCATAAGCGCATAATCCAAAATCACACCGTGGGATTACCATAGAAGATATTCCAGTCCAATAATCTTCCTGTGGATCATAAACTTCGCCATCCGCCAAAATCTGAGCGTCTATCTCTCCAACCCCTCCAACCACGAAAATTTTTCCATGTAAGACTTCTATTCCTGGTGAAATTCTCCCAATTTTCATAGGACAAACTTTTTGCCATTTCTGCCTAAAGGTATCAAAACATTCGATACTTTTAAGTAGATATTCCTCTGATCTATTCCATATTATATTGAATTCTTTCCTTGATCCACCTATGACATAAATTTTCTTTCGATTACAAATTCTTGGCTGGACATAAAAGGAGGCTTCCTCTTTAGCCAAGTTTATCTGCTGTTTAAGGTTAACTTTCAATCTGATGTCAGAGCACTCATTAATTGCTTTTTCTATTAGTTTACTTGAAATTAAAGACAATTTCACTTTTTTAAAATATCGAGAATCCAACAAAGTCTATCAGTTATTTCTTGTGTAATCCATCTGATGGCAGCAGAGAATACCTGCAATATAACAAAAGAAAAGAAAAAGAAAGTGAGAGCTGCAATAAAAAAAGAAAAAATAAATAAAATTTCAATAAATAAATATTAAATAAAAAGAAAAATATATAATATTTACCTGAAACTCAGAGTCAATATGAAGATACTCAGAATCCAAAAAATATAGTAGAGTTTCTTTAGGAATCTCAAGAAACTCTTGCTCCATTGTCACTTCTACGAAATTGGAGAAGATGAAATCCCGCGAACCATTCAACAAGCTTACTAAATAATGGGCCTGAGCAAACCTGTAAAAAAAAAAAAAATAAAAAAAATAAAAAAATATCCTCTCTAGAATAGGATTAGATCGAATCAGAATCAATCAAATTAAAACAGAACAGAAACAAAATAAAAATTCGTTACCTGTAAATTCCCAAAACATTGGATGGATCAAGTTCGCTCTTGAGAAAGTCTGTACAAACAAATACAGCACGGGGCATGAACAGCATGTTCGCAGCCACAATTAACTCCTGTGCGTTTCCCACTGTTATCTCGATGTTTCCTAAAGTATTTTTACAAAAAAAGAAAAAAAAAATATTTCATTTCTTCATTTGCAACAAAATAAAAATTTTACTTATAGATAGCAGCTTAGCACTATGAAAACTTAAAATATTTTCCCTTACCAGTATATATGAAGTCGATAAGCAGTTTTAATATATTGGGTTTCATAGACTTCATTTCTATTGATTGTGTTGTTTTCTCAGCAAATCCACACGTAAACATGGTCTTAAAATAGTCGCTTCCCGCTGACAGTATTACACGGTGAGCCTGTGGAATAAAATGTAATCCCCATCGTTTATTTTTTAAAATTTGTTAGTTCGTTCATACTGCCTTTATACATACATTAAGGGGACGTAAAAATCTGGGTGAAGAGTCGTTGTCATAGCATAGGTTTTGTGAAGTTACATAAAAGTGAGAGAATTATGGACGGACGGACAACAAAATCAAACCATTACCTGGAAGCAAACCAAAATTAAACCACTGCTAGGAAGCAAGCCCAAATCAAAGTACTGCTAGGAAACATTGATTCTATCGTGCGAAGAAAGTTGGATAAACAGCTCTTTATTTGTGTCGGGGGAGAAAGGAAGTTAGGGGAGAGCAGGGAAATTTCTTCCACTGCACTGGATAGACTTTGTTAATCATGTTCCACTGACTTCTCCTGGGCGGTAATAAGGAATGGAGGGTGAGTGTGGGCGGTGTAGTTAAGTTTCCCTCCCCCGATATGGTGTGTAAATGATGGGTGGGTGATGGAGGGCAGGCAGAGAAATGTTTCTTCACTCACAGATAAATGTTTCACTCACTCACCTTCACAACTGATCCATCAGCTAATAATATTTCTACATCACATAACTTTTCTGACTGCCAGAGGAAATGTATATCGTCTAGTAGGTAGTTAGGATAAGATTTACATTCCTCCTCCTCCTCCTCCTCGTGATGAGAGAGCTCCTCCACACGTGCAGCCGCCATCTTCAGATACTAATGTAAGACTAACCTAACCAGTTGTCAGCTTGGGAGAGAGAAGAGAGTAAATTGAGACTGCTCTAGCATTAATATATCAAGTTCCCGGTACATTTTATGTTAATAGGCTGTGATTAGGAGGAGGGATAGACTCAAGGTTTCGAGTCAAATTGAGACTACTAAAGCATCATTAGACCGTTCCTTAGGGAGTGATACCCATTCTGTAAAAAAAAAAAAAAAAGTATAGGCACTTATATTTTCCCATTATTATCAGTAGTTCACACTATCAGTCAGTAAATCCAATTTGAAAATTGTTATTGTACTTACTTGGATCTACCTTCTGGCATATTTGACTCTAATAATGTCCACTCATCTGCAATAGGGTCATATCTTTCAATACTTTTTTCGATGACCAATCCCGTCCAACCACCGAAGGCATAGAGAAAACCTCCATGAGCGCATAATCCAAAATCAGACCGTGGGATCACCATAGAAGATATTCCAGTCCAATAATCTTCCTGTGGATCATAAACTTCGCCATCTGCCCAAATCTGACTGTCCTCTCCACTCCCTCCAACAACGAAAATTTTCCCATGTAAGACTGCTATTCCAGGTGAACTTCTCACAATTTTCATAGGGCAAACTTTCTGCCATTTCTGCCTAAAGATATCAAAACATTCGACACTTTTTAAACTATACTCCTCTGATAGTTTCCATCCACCTATAACATAAATTTTCTTTCTAAGACAAATTCTTGGCTGGACAGAAAAGGCTGCTTCCTTTTCAGCCAAGTTTGTCTGCTTTTTAAGGTTAACCTTCAATTTAATATCAGCGGAGCACTCAGATTACATAAAAGTGAGAGAATTATGGACGGACAGACAACAAAATTAAACCACTGCTAGGAAGCAAGCCGCCCAAATCAAACCACTGCTAGGAAGCAAGCCGCCCAAATCAAATCACTGCTTGGAAACATTGATTCTCTCGTGAGAAGAAAGTTGGATAAGTAACTCTTTATTTGTGTCGGAGAAGAAGGGAAGTTGGGGGAACAGGGAAATTTCTTCTACTGTACTGGATATACTTTGTTAACCATGTTCCACTGACTTCTCCTAAACGGATGGTGAGTGTGGGCAGTGTAGTTAAGTTTCCCTCCCCCTATATGTGTGTAAATGGTGAGTGAGTGATGGAGGGCGGGCAGAGAAAGATATATAGGTAGGAGGTAAATGTTTCTTCACTTACAGATAAATGTTTCACTTACTCACCTTCACAACTGATCCATCAGCTAATAATATTTCTACATCACATAATTCTTGTGACTGCCAGAGGAAATGTATGTAGTCTAGCAGGTAGTTCGGATAAGATTTACATTCCTCTTCCTCCTCCTTCTCCTGCTCCTCTTTCTCCTTGTGATGAGAGAGCTCCACAGGTGCAGCCGCCATCTTCAGATACTAATGTAATACTAACCAGTTGTCAGTTTTGTTTTTAGTTGTGTGGTGATATCTGGTAATATAGAGGAGAGATATACTCAAGATTTCGTGTGTTTATTATTTGTAATGGACTTAAAATGTAATATTTGTGTGTTAGGTTATTTGAGTGCCCATTAAAACTGGGGTCCATTAAGATTAAGGGC